CTTTCTTCCTACCCTGAATATTGCTTTTTTTTAACCAATAATTGTGTCATTTAAAATTTTAGAATTACTTCATACTATAGAAAGTATCCCAGTATTAACCAATAATTTTAACCAACAATTGTGTCATTTAAAATTTTAGAATTACTTCATACTATAGAAAGTATCCCAGTATTAAGAAAATAAAATTACAGTTTTCCCAGTCTGCCATAATTGTGGTAATATTTTAATACATTTTTTCCATATTTCCTCATATTCTTTTTTGTTAACTTTTCTCCCTTTTTCACTTGATGAATCTTTATGATTGTACTTAGATTTAGTTTGGATTAGTTGGTTGATTTTTTTGCCTTTTGTTTTGTTTTGTTTTGTTTTTGTGCCGAAATTGTGCTATCCATAAATTTTGTAGACCTTTTCATTTAGTGAAGATTTTTCCATACCTGATTATCTGTTAGATATTATTTTAAACAGCAGTGTGACTGTTTCATACATTATTTAACTATATCTCAATTTGCCTAACCTTTCCCTTGGTAGGGACAAAGTTGAAGAATATAGCATCTAGGTTATCAGAAGGCCTAAGTTTTTAGACTCATCTGCAAGTTATAGAAAAAAAACATACATTTAATAAGCATAAAGGAGAGTTATTTGACCAAAAGGCTCTCAGGTAATTTTTTCTTTTATAAATACATTGTTCCTGGCTGAAAAGAAATACTACTGAAGACTTTTTAAACGTCTGACATTGCGTGTGTTATCATTGTTTGAAAATTAATTTCAGCACCACTCATTTACAAATCAATGGGTTATAAACTTTCCAAGGCAATAAAAATACAATATACCTATAGTGTGTTGGAGAATTTACGTCTCCAGAGATAATCTAGAAAAAGCTAGAGTTTTAGGCCACATGTGATCTATAACCTTCTGTACTCAAATATATGGGCTGGAGTGATAGCACAGCGGGTAGGGCGTTTGCCTTGCATGCGGCCAACACGGCCAACCTGAGTCCTATTCCTCCGCCCCTCTCGGAGAGCCCAGCAAGCTACCGAGAGTATCTCACTCACAGGGCAAAGCCTGGCAAGCTACCTGTGACGTATTTGATATGCCAAACACAGTAACAAGTCTCACAATGTTACTGGGTCCACTAGAGCAAATTGATGAACAATGGAGGACAGTGACAGTGACTCAAATACATGAGGCTATATTCTGACACCTAAGACATAGACCCTAGAAAGAGAATATACTACCCTCCCAAGTGGCCCCCAGGCTCTTCCATACCATTTGTAAGAACCTATCTTATAACACTGGATTATTCATTTCCTCTCCTCTCCTAGGTGGCACACACATTACTAGGGTTTTCATTGACTGTATCAACTATTATTATCCTTTTCTCTGAAAGTCTGTAACTACATGTAGCCTTTTCTAATTTTATGGGTCTTTTTTATTTAAAGAAATTATGATCTGCCTTTGTGTTCCTTCTTCATTCACTCTGTTGACCCAAGAATTGTAAATCTTATTAGGTAGTATTTTCCGAGGTTGAATAAGGGGAAACTACCACTGCCCCAAGCCTGTTCTGGAAAGTTACTGTACATCCCCTAATGGAAAAGTACAGCAAATCTCTCTTATAGACTTTGACCTAGTATATCCAGTTGTTCCTAGAGCTTATTAAAATATGCAGTTCCTCCCAAGCAGCACTCTACAGTTTGCTACTTAATTTTTTTCTATTAACTAACTAGTTAAAAGAGAAGAGGTAATTATCTAATTGTCTAAAGATAGTCTGGAAGTTATATTCAAAGTGAAATGTCAACATTTGTGTCATTTAGTTATCAGATGTAAGTAAACTCATTATCTCTTTATACTTTCAGTGTATTGACTGTTGGGTATTTTATTTGTCTTTAAATCTTGTTCTTTGCTCTTTTTATCTCAAACATTTCTTCAGCAGCTAGTTAAGCTAATGAGTAGTCCTGAGGTGACTGTTTATTTTCTGCCCTCTTACTATTTTATCTATAAATCATAATTTAAGAGTATAAAACCAAAACTTTCTGGACTTGTGTTTTAAACATGCTATATGTCTATAACATTTCTTCTACTTCCACTAAAACAGTACTATATGAATCCACACTAACTCTAATACTTCCATGTTTTTTCTTCAAGTTACCATATCCTACCAGAAGAGCAGAGTTTCAACTGAAGCCGTAGCACTGTGGCATTACTATTATTATCACTGACTAATTATTACTTGGCTTGATCATATAAAAATCTGATATCTGATGTACATTTAAATTTTTCAGAGACAAGGTAGATATTTCTTCAGTGTCTTATGGAAGGACTCAACATTTTCATATTTCTTTCCAGCAGTAAGGAAAAAGTACATTTGTTCAGTTATACTTACTCTCTAGATATAACAAGAAACATACTGACTGGATAATTCATATTCTTTGAGATTTCATTCTTCATTGCACTGTTTTATAACATTGTTATAAAGGTATTATTTTCAAATAACAGACATGTCTGCTTTAACAGTATTTAATAGTAATAGGTTTAATTACAGCATCATCAGCCTTGATGAACTGAAAATGAAACAGTGATAAAAATTTAGTTAGAACCGTGCTTTAGTTATTGGTAGAATAGTAGGAGGTAAATTATACTTCCCTGTGAAGTAGTAAGCTAACAGTAGTAACATATTTCTATTTCTAGAGCCTTTCTTTGAACACTATGTATTGTAGAGTTATTATCTAATCCTAGAAGATTCCCTGACCATAAAAAGTAATGTGCCCCCTTTTTTATAGGGGGTATTAATGCTCATAGTACTTAAGTGAGTTGCCCAAGGTCACTCGGTGAGTCTTTGGTGAAGCCAGAAATAGAATCCAAGTCTCCTGACTCCCAATTCAGTTCTCTATCCTTGATATAGTTTTCTATCCTCTATACCCCTGCTGCCTCTCAGGGGAAAAGAAGTTAATCTTCCAGCTATTAATAGCCACCAAATTGGTGGTAGCAGCACAGTGGAGAAAAGTAACTGTCTTTACACTGCAGCATTAGTATAAAAATATCTGGTAATGGAAAATTTGACAAATGTCATGTTAAAGGGAGTGGAAAATTATTTTAAGATCTGGATCTCATTTATCTAGTTCTCAGAAAAGTAGAATTCCTTAGTAGAACAGGGATCATATTTTCCTTCCTGTTTTTAAATTGTATTTCCTAGAGGGTAATTGCCAACCTAGCCAAAGCAGAGCCTATTGCCAACTAATGTAATAAGGATATTACATGAGTGAGTGTTATAAGTGCATTTTCTAACTTTCATTGCAAGTTTGATTGCTTTGTTGAAAAATAGAACATTAATTGGGGTTTCAGTGTTTTTAAAATTAGTGTTACATTGTAAAGCAAATAAAACATCAACTAAAAATTATATTTTGTGACTTGAAAACATGGGCAGAACTACTGATTATAGTTTCTTCCCCAGACAGTAACACTCCAAGCAAAGTCAACTTCATGTCTGGTACTGTGAATAGTTCACTAGAATGACATAATTATAGCAGGGAGGAAAGTGTTAATTAAGCAGTAGATGATAAGCACACTGGAACTGACCAAATTGTTTTATATACAATTCATTAGTTTCACATTAAAGGTTTAAGCTGTGTTTACTACTCAAATATTTAGATATTTCAGCATGTCTAGTATTGTTAGAATTAACACTTGAGGTTTTTTTGTTTGTTTGTTTGTTTATTTGTGTTTTAAATTTCTTAATTTGGAACCAACCAACAAGAATTCTACCGAAAAACTCTGGAAGTTATGTTTCTGTTCAAAGATTACTAATTGTTTAATTAGTAGAATACAATAACCATGATTATGTTTTATAGTAAATGTAAGAGCCAAAGGATTGAGAAAGGTTGGAAAATGTATCAAATAGGTAAAACATGGCCCCGAGAATCGTAGTGTAGCCAAGGCGCTTGCCTTGTATTCTGTTGACGCAGGTTCAATCCCCAGCACATACATGGTCACCTGAACCCACCAAGGGTGATCCTTGAGCACAGAACCAAGAGTAAACCCTAAACACCATTGGGTGTGGCACAAAAACAAGGAAGAAAAGACAGACAGAAGGAAAAATGGATGGACAAACAACGGCAGAACTTAATTACTTGCTACCACGTGACTGACACAATAGCACAAAGATAATTAGAAATACTAGTGTAGAATAAGAAGACCAGTAGGTCAAATATAGCTCTTTGGAAAATACATGCTTTTATTTGGTAGAGGAAAAAGTTTACCAAATATAGCAAATAGCAAATCGAGGTGTTTTTTTTTTTAACCTCAAAAGTTACAGAAAGAAGCTAAAAAGTATTCACTGAACTTGATGGCCTCTTGATGTTTGGAAGCTTTGTTTTATGATGAGGGTCTGTGAAAAAGAGTATTGCAAACTCTAAATAATACTATTTGTCCTTAGTATTTATCTAATTTTTGTACACATTATACATATGTACACATATAACATGAAGTTCACATGTTGACATATATCAACCAGAAAACTAAGTTTAATATGTCTGAGATAGAAAGAGATTAAATTTTTTTTCACTCACCTGAGATTTTTGTTGATTATTGCCATTCTTATTCTTTTAAGCAAGACTTCCATTCAATTAGAAATCAACTAGTGTTATTCACAATAGAACAAGCTACTAATCTTTGTGTCTATAAATGTTTAATACTTTCTCTTAATGTAAGTCGAACTTGAAAGCTGAAAATTGCTTTGAAATTGCTTGTTTCTGTTAGTTAGAAATGTATTTTTGTAATTACCAGTACTCAAGTTAACTGTAGCTATCATTTGCTACTTATTTCTCATATGGAATCTTTATAACTTAAAGTTACTGGCAGTAAATTATTTTTCCCTCTCAGATAGTTTCAAGTTTTTAAGTGTTTAAAGAAAAATATGCCTTATCAGTGTTTAAAAAATTGGTGTGGCTGTTACAGAAATATTTAGGCAACATTATTGGACTTCTTTTTAATTTTGTTTTAAACAGGCACATCTTCAAGTCAATCTAATGTACTTAAAATTCCTCCACAAAAACGAACCAGAAGAAAATTAATGCCTTCTCCTTTGAAAACAAAACATACACAAACATCTGCGGTTTCTGAAAGTATGAAGCTCAATGATTCACTCAGCAAAGAACTTGAACCTATTGTGTATACACCCGAAGACTACAGAAAAACATCTCAAAATTCATCTACAGTGCCCTTATTAAAACCACCATCGCTTACAACAGATTATCAGTCCAGTAGTTCAAACATAAATGGTGATAGTTCTCTGAAAATATTATGTGAAGTAGATAATCCTCTCAGCAGGACTAAAGAATATGAACAAGAGGATTTGGACTCTACGTTTATTATATGCAAAGACAGTACCTTGACAAGAAAATTACCTGAACAAGAATCACTATTGAATGATAATATTTTACAAAGGTACTAGTAAATATTATTTGCCAAATTTTCTTTTCTTATTTTTGCTTAGCTTTTAAAATGCGGGTTTTCTTTGACTGTCTGAAGATTTTTTTTTTGATTAAAGAACACTGTCTTGATTATAAAGTGATTGTTCCACCTTCAGAAAATCTTGTCTCTAAATATTAATCTCTCGCACATCCTTTTAAAGTCTAGTTTTTACGTTCAGTTGATCCTCATTACGCTACATGAGTAATACCCTTCAGATATTTAGGCTGTTTTTCACACTAAAAAGTTAAATAATGCAGCCATCATTGGAAGATTAGCATTGTATTATTATTATTATCTTCACTGAAGGAAATTCCATAGTTTCTACTAATTTCTAACAAACTTCTGCTTACTCTGAAGGGCATTCGCCCTACAAGCGGCCAGCATGGCTGACCCGAGTTCGATTCCTCCGCCCCTCTCGGAGAGCCCGGCAAGCTACCGAGAGTATTCGATATGCCAAACACAGTAACAACAAAATCTCCAATGGAGACGTTACTGGGCCTGCTCGAGCAAATCGACGATCAACGGGAGGGCCTTTACCTTACCTTTTATCTTTACTCTGAAATATTTGCACATGTTGATCACATCATCCAAGATAATATATCCTTCCTACTTCATCTGTAATATGATAACTAGTAGAAAATAATTTCTTCACCTTTCTGTACTCTTAGCAGCAACTCTTCTTATGGTGCAAAAAGAGAAAAGACAAAACAGGATAAAACAAAAAGTCCTTATAGTAAAAAATTATGGTCTTCATACATTAATGTCAACTGGTATTTTAGTTATTAAACTATATGCCCTCGTTCTTCTTAATAGTACAAATCTGAAATGCTGTTTGCTTTTTATTTTTTATATTTAGACTAGCCCCTTCATTTTCATCTAAACATCCTTTACCTAACTCAAGTGTACTACCATCCTACATGGCAATGACTGCTGCCGCCAAAAGAAAACGGAAGCTCACAAGGTAAGAGTAAACATAATGGGCTCAGTCTTTATACTTATTCATGTAAGATCATCTCCGTATTTTGTTTCCTACCACCACTTCTTATTTCTTATAGTTAGTCTATCCATTCATACTTAAACATACACATAATAAATTACTTTGAGTGTGGCACTGCATTTTTAGCAGAGATCTTGATGAACCTTGAGTATTTCACCTGTGTTTACAAAAACTATTTCTATTTTAGATTTCTAGAAGTAAACTGAACCATCTTCTAGCCTTCAAAAATATCACTTGATTTTAACTTTTATGCTCACAGTATTTTTTACTTATTTGATGTTTCCTCTTTCAGACATTAGTGAATTTCTTCACTTCTAGTACTGTATTATTTTAACAGATTTTGATAAATACTAAAAATGTAATGAGTGAGGAAACTTCTATTTCTGGGGATGAACATGTAGATTATATTAGACCAAGCTACCTATCAAGAATAACTAGAAAAGCTGCTAAAATGCAACCAGTCAGCTGCTCAAAGACACTAAACTTCAGGGTCTAAGCAAGTAGGACTTCAGGATCTAAGGGCCTCAACGAGCCAGAGAAACAAAAGCTTTTTTTTTATTTTCCAAGGTATTCGTGAAGCTCTAAACTAGGAAGCCAGACTAGTTAAAAGTTGCTGCTGGGGCCAGAGCAATCATACAGTGGGTAGGGCGTTTGCCTTGCATGTGGCCCGGTTGCATGTGGTTCAATCTTCAGCATCCCATATGGTCCCCCAGGCACTGTCAGGAGTAATGCTCGAGTGTGGAGCCAGATGTAACCCCTGAGCATTGCCGGGTGTGACCAAAAAAAAAAAAATCAAGAAAAAAGTTGCTGCTAAGAGGCTAAAATACTAAGTAGATCTTTGACATTCTGGTTTCTGTACCACAGAAATTATTGTTCAAGGGATTATCATAGAGAAATGGCCATGTTGAACACTGTTTTGCTTGAAATTCTGAAACAGGTCTTAAGCCATGCCACATCAATTTTTTTGGGGATAAAAAGGTGATCTATGTCTACTCATAACTTGCCAAAAATATATACATAAGTGTGTGTATGTGTGTATATATATATACACATATATATATATTCGGTCACGATCCTCCCGTTATTCATCGATTTGCTCGAGCAGGCCCAGTAACGTCTCCATCATGAGACTTGTTACTGTGATTGGCATATTGAATACATCACGGGTAGCTTGCCAGGCTTTGCCGTGCAGGCGAGATACTTTCATACTCTCATAATGAGACTTGTTACTTTTTTGGCCATATTGAATATGCCACGGGGAGCTTGCCAGGCTCTGCAGTGTGGGCGGGATACTCTCGGTAGCTTGCCAGGATCTCCGAGAGGGACAGAGGAATCTAACCCGGGTTGGCTGTGTGCAAGGCAAACGCCATACCTGCTGTGCCATCACTCCAGCCCTATTTAGCATTAATACAAAGATAAACATGCTGAGTACATTATATGAGATTAAACCTATTACATTGAATGTAATGACAATACAGTGAAAATTATAAAATTAATTGATTGACTCTACATTTTTATATTGTGGGGAAAAGAGAATAAGATCTTAAGATAATTTATTGGGGAATATTTTTCTGGTCACTGTCACTGTCACTGTCCTCCCGTTGTTCATCAGTTTGCTCGAGCGGGCCCAGTAACGTCTCCATTGGAGACTTTGTTGTTACTGTGTTTTGGCATATTGAATGCATCACGAGTAGCTTGCCAGACTCTGCCATGCGGGTGAAATACTCTCAGTAGCTTGCCAGGCTCTCTGAGAGGGGCAGAGGAATCGAACTGGGGTCAGCCATGTTGGCTGCGTGCAAGGCAAACGCCCTACTGTTGTGCTATTGCTCCAGCCCTTTTTACTGGTAACATTGTATTTACAGATAGTGTATGGTTTTTTGTTTTGTTTTTTTGGTCCACATCTGGCAATACTCGGGTTTCTCCTGGCTCTGCACTCAGGAATCACTCCTGTTGGTGCTCAGGAGACTACATGGAATGTCAGAAATAGAACCTGGGCTTACCTCCTGCAAGGCCAGCATATGACCTGCTGTACTATCTCCAGAGCCACAACACTGTATATGTTTTCAAACTACACGTTTACATTTCTGCAAATTTATGTTACTATTTTCACCTGTATCAAACTACTAATAACTCTCCAACTCTTGGCTCCTACCCTCACCGCTGACAGATCTGGTTTCAGAGTCCAAGGATTTCTTTTGGATATGTTTTGTCCATTTCCTTGCGCTGTTTCGTTATATTCCACATATGAGTGAAATCATCCATTATTTTCTGACTTAATTTGCATATCATCATTTCCTTACGTTCATCCATATTGTTGCATTTTTCTTGCTTTTGGTGTTTGGGTCATTTACCCAGCAGTGCTCAGGACTTATTCCCAGCTCTGCACTCAGGGAACAAACCCAAATCAACCACATGAAAGACAAGCACCCTACCCTCTTACTCTTGCTCTGACCTAACATTTCACCTTTATTTTTTGTTAAATCACCATGAGATATAGCTACAAAGCTTTCATGACTGATGTTCAGTCACAAAATGATCCAACACCCATCCCTCCCAGTGTGCATTTTCCACCACCAGTGTTCCCAGTGTCCGTCCTGCCACCCCCACCCTACCCCACCCTCTGCCTCTGTGGTGGACAATTTTCTTCTTATTCTCACTCTACCTTTGGGCATTATGGTTTACAATACAGATACTGAGAGGCCATCATAGCACTGTAGCACTGTCCTTCCATTGTTCATCGATTTGCTGGAGCGGGCCCAGTAACATCTCCATTGTGAGACTTGTTGTTACTGTTTTTGGCATATTGAATATGCCATGGGGAGCTTGCCGGGCTCTGCGAGAGGGCCGGAGGAACCGAACTGAGGTTAGCTGCGTGCAAGGCAAACGCCCGACCCGCTGTGCTATAGCTCCAGCCCAGAAACCATCATAACTGAGCAATGTTCTTTGTCTGTATGTGCGCATGCGAGCATGCGTCCATGTGGGGGAGAGGGTGTTTACCAGGGCTAATGTAAACTAGTTTACAGATAGACTGTTTATGCTTTGTGGAACATCCCATATGTGTGTTTAGAACATTTAGAACTCCTTTCTCATCCAAAGGAGAGATGGAAATGTGTAGACATGGCCAGAGCGATAGTACAGCGGGTAGGGTGTGTTTGCCTTGCACATAGCCTACTTGAAATACCCAGCATCCCATATGGTCCCCCAAGTGCCACCAAGAGTAATTCCTGAGTGCAGAGCCAGAAGTAAGCCCTGAGCATCGCTGGATGTGACGCAAAAAAAGAGGAAAAAAAAAAGAAATGTGGACTTTAAATTTTTTTTCTGAGAATCTCTATTCATGATATTTAAAAATTTGTATTTTTGCTAGATCCAAATTTGAGTAGTAGAATTAGTATGAGAATTAATTACTTAATGAGTGAGCTCACCATTCTATTTCATTAATTTTACCTCTAATTTTCATTCTGTCGCTTATTTCCACTAATTGAGGTTGTTGACTTTTCTGGTTATTTGTGGTTAACACTTGTTTTGATTTAGATACGACAAAAGCTTAATAGCCAAGAATAGTTTATAAATATAGTCATTATCAAAACCAAATAATTTTCCAAGAAATGACTAAGTGTATAAATTGAATATTTGGAGTGACTTTAGATGAGTTAAACGGCTTCCATATGAGCATCTAATATTGTGAAATAATATTAAAGGACATATAAAGTAATTAAGATTTCTCATAGACTATAAATTGCTCTATTATATTCTCTTGGTGCAAATAAGTAGATCCTGCCATTAACTAAGGTTAAAGAGATTATTGCTAGAAATGTACATAATTACTTTTTTTTAATCTTCCTTTTCCCCAATTAAATTTACATGAACTTGAGTGTAATAAAGTCTGGCATTTTCCACTTAGCAGTTTTGTATACATATTTAGGTGTGTATGTTTTAATGTTTGGGTTTTTTTTTAAATGAGGAGAAGTCTTCATGTACATAGTTATTTTGTTTATTTGTATTGGTTTTGTCTCTGAGAATGAAGTTAAAATCCAAATGACTAAATATTCCAAAGACTTCCCAAACTGAAGTTTTACTCTGAAAGTATGAATATTACATTTTAATCATATAAAAAAATTAAAAATTGCAATAAATATAATTGCAATAAAAGGAAATTAAATCAACAAATGGAAAGATACTCTAAATATTGGGGAAAAAAATAAAATAAAACCTAATTGCACCTAAAAATTAAAAAATAAATTTTAATCATATCAATTTATTTTAAATGACTAGCACACTTTTAACAAATCAGACATATGTATGCTCTATATGTATAAGATTTTATTATATTTATCAGAGTTTGGAAGTTTTGTTCTGTGTCTGGTTGTGAGCACAGTCTAACACCCAAAAATACAGTCTCATATTTCATACATTCTTGGTATGTTTGAAAGGTGTCTCTAATAGTTCCATCTAGAAATTATCTAGATTGAAAAATATCAGGAGTGTTATATTTAATAAGCATAAATTACAAATTAAATATTTTCCTTTATAGTTACGGAATTCTATTTGGCACAGCTATGTAGCACTGTAGCACTGTCCTCCCATTGTTCATCGGTTTGCTCGAGTGGGGACCAGTAATATCTTTATTGTGAAACTTATTGTTACTGTTTTTGGCATATCGAATAAGCCACAGGGAGCTTTCCAGGCTCTGCCATGCGGGCAGGATACTCTTTGTAGCTTGCCGGGCTCTCCGAGGGGATGGAGGAATCGAAGCCAGGTTGGCCATTTATTTTTAAAAGTTTTTTTTTTTTTCTTTTGGCTTTTGGGCCATAGCCAGTACTCAGGGTCTAATCCCAGTTCTGTGCTTGCCTGGAGGTCTCCTCCCAATAGTGCTGGAGAAACACGCAGTGTTGAATCAGACCTGTGGCCTCCTACGCATTGCTCATTGAACTATCTCTCTGTCCCCTCATAATCTTTAACATGATTTTAATTTGCACTCATACCAATTTTTGGTCTTTCATGCTTTAACTGAAATCTTCATAGCATAAGTGTAACATAGCATAAATATCAAACATCCCGTCAGTGAAATAGTCTGAAACCTAATACAATGTGTTTGACACATCAAATACATGTAAATATACAGCTTAATTTTATTAGATTTTAGTTATTTTCCAGAGATGTGAATTGTATTCAAATAGATTGTTCTGGGGGGCGGGAGAGAGAGTACAGCAGGTGCAGGGCACTTGTCTTGCACGCAGCTGATCCAAATTTAATTCCTGGCACTCTGTATAGTTCCCCAAGCCCACCAGGAGTAATCCCTGAGCACAGAACCAGGAATGAGCCCTGAGCAACACTGGTGTGACCAGAAACAAAATAGAAACAAAAAGATATATTCACAAGTCTTATTTAAAACTGAAGCGTCTTATTTACAGCTTTAAAACTAATTACAGGGACTTAGTACAGGAGATAGTGCACTTGCGTTGTGTGCAGTCCCCGCTGATTTGATCCTTGGCACTGCATATGATCCCCAAGCACCACCTGTGGTCACTCCTTAACACAGAGCCACAGATATCCCCAAACCATCAGAAGCTATAATTCCCACGCCCCCACAACAAAAAATTCAGTTATACAGAGACATTTTTCAGAAGTAGCCAATGACATTGTTCTTGTACTTGAAATGAGATTACCAAATGACCGATAAAGAATTTTTGCACTAAAAAACTAATATATATGTATTATTAAAAAGGAGTATTAGTGCCCAAGAGATAGCACAGGGCTTGAGCGATAGCACAGCGGTAGGGCGTTTGCCTTGCAAGCAGTCAACATGGCCGACCTGAGTTCGATTCCTCCGCCCCTCTCAGAGAGCCCGGCAAGCTACCGAGAGTATCTCTCCTGCGTGGCAGAGCCTGGCAAGCTCTCCGTGATGTATTCGATATGCCAAACACAGTGATAACAAGTCTCATGATGGAGATGTTACTGGGCCCGCTCAAGCAAATCGATGAACAACGGGAGGACCGTGACCGTGATTAGTGCCCAAAATTTATTTATATTCATTTGTTTAGAATATTTAAGAATAAAGAATTTCTACCATTGGATTTTGTTTACCTTTATAATGTAGTACATATAATCATTTTGGATAGTTCTCATTTGCACTCTTTGTGGGGGGAATTGGGCCACACCTGGCTGTGCGTGTGGCTTACTCATGGCTCTGTGTTCAGGGATGACTCCCGGCAAGCTTGGTACACTGTATGCAGTGCAGGGATCAAACCAGGGTTACCACATGCTGGACAAGTGCCTCAACACTGTTGTGTCTCTCCAGCTCCCATTTGCATTCCTGAAGAAAGTAAGCACAATCACCATTATAATTGCCATACTCACATCTCTTAGAGACTTACAGAAAATTTAGTAGATGAATTGAGTTACTTTTCACTGCACTCAGTATACTCAGTCCTGTTTCTTTTCTTTTGCTTGCTGTCATCGCATTACCAGTTCTGACTATTTTCAATGAGCATACAACTAACTCATCTCCTCCCTGTTTCATAACATATGCTCATATCACTTTACTACACGGTTAGTGACTTGCCAGAAATCAGCTGGTTGCCATCAGATAGGAACTTCCAGTTCCTAGTCAAGTTAATATCAACTTTTAAAAATCGAGCATTTATCCTTACAGTCAAAAACTTCCTTGTGTTTGTATGAAGAGAGAACATTGGTCCCCCTCTTGAACCCCAACTTTACCTATGAAAATACAGTCATCTCTAGTGCTAAGAATGAGTGCTAATTTTCAGGAACAATCCAAATCACCTGTTGTAAATTCTTACCAGTTCTCTTGTAAGCTCAGGAACCTATAGCTCCTTGTGTTTAAAATACCTGTGGCACCCTTTTTCCTTCATCTTGTGTCATTTTCTGTATTTGTCTTATTTTTCACCTTTCAACTATGTCAACCATAATAAAGTTTCCAGGACAATGATTGTTTGTGCCTTATCAATTTATGAACTATACCACAAGTCCATATATCATAGGCGTTTAGTCAACTCAAATTGAATGCAGTAATGTTCTTAGACTGATACAGAATTTGGAAGATAAAGACCTGGAGCACTAGTACAGTGGGTGGGGCATTTACCTTATACACAGCCAACCCAGGTTCAGTCTCTGGCATCCCCTGTGTTTCCCCAAGCACCTCCAGGAGTAATTTCTGAGTACAGAGCCAGAATAAACCCCTAAGATTTCTGGGTTTGGCCCAAAAACACAAAAAAGCTTATGACATAAGAAATATATTTATTTTCATTTCTACCATTTCTATAATTGTAATAATCACAGAAAAATTATTACAAATGCTTTGATTTGGAGCAATAGCACAGCAGGTAGGACGTTTGCCTTGCACACGGACAACCCGGACCAACCCTGGTTCAATTCCTCCGCCCCTCTCAGAGACCCTGGCAAGCTACCAAGAAAGTCTCACAATGGAGAGGTTACTGGTGCCCGCTTGAGTGAATCGATGAACAACAGGAGGACAGTGCTACAGGACAGTGCTTTGATTTTAAGAAAAGTAGAAAGGTTTCTTTTTTTCCTTTTTTTTTTTTTTTTTTTTTTTTGCTTTTTGGGTTACACCCAGTGATGCTCAAGGGTTACTCCTGGCTTTGCACTCAGGAATTACTCCTGGTGGTGCTCAGAGGACCATATGGGATGCTGGGAATCGAACCTGGGTCAGCCTCCTGCAAGGCAAACGCCCTACGTGCTGTGCTATTGCTCCAGCCCCTTAAGAAAAGTTTCTAAACAGTCTCATCAGTCTCATTGTTTATATTACCTCTGATTAAGATTCTCCAATAATTTAATATGTAACATGAGCTTAACTTTTTACCTTTCATAGTGTGCCCCTTTGATGCAGAGCACCATGAAAATGGTTTATTTCAGAATACTTGCATGTATCTAATTATAATATATTTGAATGAACATCATTTAAAATGAAACATGACTAAAATTCCCTACAAATCAAAATTTATTTGGTGTTGTCTTTATTCTTGTTTTGGACCACTCCTAACAGTGCTCAGGAGACCATGCAATGCTGAGGATCAAACCCAGAACTCTTTCATGCAAAGTGTGCACTCAGCCTCATGAACCTCTCCTTCCCATCTACAATTATTCCTATGGAATCTAACAACTTAAAATGTTTCAGTATTTAACTTTTTCTTTCCTCATTATTGCATGTCAAATATCATTAAACTTAGAGATACAAAAATCTTTTACTAAAATTAAAAAATTTCCCTTCAAGTTCTGCGTCAAGTACATCAGTAACTGCTGAAGTAAATTCTGGATTTGCCAAACGTATTCGACAAGATGCTTCAACTGATAAGCTCTTACAAGAAAACAGACCAGTGACAGGTATGTGCTAGCTTTTATTTTGATGTCTAATAATATGACTATCTCACAAGTATATAGTAACTCACATTTTTGCATTGTTTATAGAACAATAAAAAGACAATGCAAAACAGAATTCCCTTTCATATATGCATCACCTTTATTACCTAGTAAATGTAATTATCCATTATAAAGATAAGGATACTTAAGATACAAAATAGGAAATACTCAAGATCTATTATATCTGTATTTATACACAGGTGTTTTATGATGTAGCCAGAACTCAAAATCAAAACTCATAACTATGTTCAACACCTTTTTGTAACATGTTGTTAAATAGTTAACTCATAATTGAAATAATTGGCTATATAAATACTTGGCTAATAGTGATAAACTGTGCACTATAGATAAAACATATCATTTAAATTTTTTTCTTAGCCTGTGATTTTAATAGTTATTTTAATACCTCTATCTCATTTGTGCATTGATTTCACTGCCAGATTTCAGTGTGTAACAGTTATTTTGAAATTCCTTAATTTGGATAAAAAAGCAAAGCAGGAATCACATGGTGACAAAACCACACTACAGTTGTTTATAGACTGTGGTGTCCCAGACTTCTCTGATACAATAGTTCCCAAGTCTTTGTTCAGGAAGCACTTCTTACTACAGTACTTGTAAAAATAGTCTTTCAGCAGTTCCAAAAGAAGGAAAGTATATGTCATCGTTTATTCAGTGATTTTGATGTGTCGGAAAATTCACTTCACAATATTCAGAGATGAATCTCCACTCTTGAACCAAAGATATTAATTTCAGAGATGCGGCTTAGTGGTAGAACACTTACTTTCCTTGTGTGAGGCTGGGGTTCAATCTCCAGCACTGCAAAGATGGAAGGATTTATTAATACCTGAAGGTATTAATGTTTCTTAATTGTTATGATAAGTTTGAGAAATTTTATGGTGAAAAATTTTGAATGATACTGTCATTGTAATTATATATATGTGTGTTTTTTTATTTCTTCTCTAGAATATAGAAGAAACATCAATAAAATAAAGCCAAGCATGGTTAGACAATTTGGAAGGAATATTTCAAAAGAAAATTTGAGATAAGCCATTTAAAAATCAACAAAAATGAAACTGACAGTCTACTTTTTAAAAGAATTTGTTGACAGTGCCCTTCGAAATTTTATTTTAAATCTTTGAAAGAAGGACATTTTGAAGCAAGATTTACCTAATACATTTTTTTTTTCAGGCAGAAAATACAATTGTTTTTTTAAATGTTGACTCTAAGCAAATAAAAACTTTCAACAGAAAAAGTTTTTATTTTCGAAAAATATTCACTGTCCTTCATAAGACCTTATAAGTCAGCGTGGTGGCAGCTTAGTGAAAATGTGCTAAGACATGTTGGTTAGGACATTTTAGAAAATAACAGTGTTTTAAATTACCTGTACTACTTTTTAAAATAAGGAAAATTTAAAAATGATCAATTACGCCCCAGAATGTCTCTGGCTTTCCCATGTTTTCAATCATATGTAAGACTTTCTTTAAAAAAGTATTTTGATGTATAAATGTAGATATATATATGTGCCTATAGAATTGTAAATATTATTTAACTATGTCATGAATAAAATAGTGACATTGTTTTTTGTTACTCGGTGTATTAAAGACATAAATTTTGTTTGTTACTTCTCATTATTACCCCTAACACACTTAACTATTATCTCGTATAATATGCAGATTTTGTGTATTTTTATCCCAGATTAGATCAAAGAGGTGTAACAGATGAGTCATCTGAAAACAACGCATAGGTTCCAAACAGATAATGAAAAAGTGCTTTAATCATTCCTTCTGTTATCAAAATGCATAGGCTTTCCACTTAATCATATATTCCTGTTCATCTGCCTTCTCTATCCAACCTACACAAGAAATCAAAGTCAAATGTACTGTAATTTTATACAGCCTAGGATTTGTTTCCCCAGAACCAACCATCCGTCACGTAACAGTGGGGGAATAATTTTTTTTAATAATTGAAGTATTTAAGCCTTTTATTTGGGGACCATACCCAGAGGTGCTCACGGCTTACTCCTGGCTCTGTGCTCAGGGATCACTCTTGGCAGGGTTTGGGAAAGCACATGACACAGGGTATCTAACCTGGGCTGACTGCATGCAAGGCAGGCTCCTTCCCCAGTATAGTACCTCACTGTCCCCTCTGAAAGGCTTTTAATGAAAATTTCAACCTAAAATCTGACTAGGAAAGTGAAACAAGAATTTTTAACTTTGATAATTCCAGATTTATAATGCACAAAGGATCTGCACTAATTTTTGTTGATTTCTTTGTCATTAAATCTTTGCACATATTATCCACCTAATAAACAGTTCTGTACTTTTATTATTTCTGTCTTTGGTAGAAATAAGTGATTTAGAGCTGATGTTTTTAATAAGTACAGATATAATGATCAGCAGGATTCAGTGACCCTCGGGACTGAATGATTTTCTTATCCAGCGGTTTTACCAGCCATGAATTTTGCCTTTCGTAGAAACAAATGTCTTTGCAGTTCTTTTATATTTAAGAGAAATGAGGGAAACTTGGATCATAATGAATTTGAAGAAAGAAACCCATTCTAAAAGCGAAAATACAGGCATTTCAAATGCAAGCAAGAATGCTATTTATTGTCATTGAGACATTTTGAAATGAACTTTGTGTGTTAAAGAATACCAATCAGGGACTGGAGCAATAGCACAGCGAGTAGGTTGTTTGCCTTGCACACGTCTGATCCAGGTTTGATTCCCAGTATCCCATATGGCCCCCAAGCATCGCCAGGAGTAATTCCTGAGTGCATGAGCCAGAAGTAACCCCTGAGCATCGCCAGGTATGACCCAAAAAAGAAAAAAAAAGTATATCAGTCAGAGATATAGAGCTTAGTGCATTGTCACAAAGTGAGCACATCTTATCATTTCAGTTGAGAAAGAGAAAATGCCCAGTGCTCCTGATGTCTCTTTTGTATCCCACTTCCCTCTCATTATAACACCATAGATCGATTTTAACCTTAATAATATAAGTTATTAAAGCATATCCTGCTCCTTAAGATGGCATAGACTGTGAGTAGTAAAAATATACTTTCTCCTTACCCCCCACCAATATTATTAGCAGTTGAAACCACTATTAATAGCTTAGGTAATCTGGCCAGTCATTTGTATTATGCACATACAAATCTGTGGTTTTGTTAAGAAAACTGTTTTGTAATTTCCTTTTATTCACAGCTGTACATTTGGAAGCACAGTGATCTTTGTGAAATAAAGTTAATGCAATTCTTTTATAAACACTGCTCTTTATCAAATTGCTCTTAACAACTGGCAATATCATTTTTATGTTGCCAATTTTTACCATTTTTATGTTATCATTTTTATGAAATCTAGATGACATGAGTCTCATTTGCCTAATGCTATAAGGTGTTTTTGAGAATACTTAGTTAAGGTGTATTCACTATTATTTCTACAAAATAATATCCCACAAAACATGACTCACCTGGAATTCTTTGCCAAAAAAGTGTTCCAGATCAGAAAATAGGGAAACACAGCATACTGGTATACTGACTATACACATTTACTATATTTTATTGGGGCTTGGGGACATAATACCAAAAGCAGCCATGCTAGAGGCCTGGCAGTGCTGAGGAGTATGCAGTGCTGGGGATCAGACCCTGGCCTCCTGCATGCAGAGTAAACACTCCACCCAGTGATTTTTCATTCCACGCCCCCCCCCCCCCCCCCGCCAAACACACACACACACATTGACTTTCTAAACCCCTGATGTCTTGCACAAAGGAATGTTTTTTTTTATTTGACTAATTCCCAAATTTTGCTGACTCAAACTTAAAAAAAGAATCTTAAGTGAGGATGGTATAATGTGTCTTTATATTGATAGTCACTTGCCAAACATTTTTACATTTGCCCAGAGTTTTCCTTTTTTGGTCTCTGCTGGAATTTATTATAAAGCACATCTAGACATCACTACATACTTGTTTACACATCTTAAAAATGCAGTTTTGTGTTGTTTTTTTGTTGTTGTTTAACTCCATCCTTTTATTAAAGGACTATGTAATTTTTTTTTCCTTTTTGTTTCACACCTGGTGATGCACAGGGGTTATTCCTGGCTTTGCACTCAGGCATTACTGCTGACTGGTGCCCACGGGACCATCTGAGATGCTGAGAATCGAACCCGGGTAGCCCACATGCTAGGCAAATGCTCTACCTGCTGTACTATCACTCCAGCTCCCCTATGTAATATTCTTAAGATCATTTGAATAGTGGTCTAGATTAACAATGGCTACAAATTTAGCACAGTATTAAAAAAAAGGGGCAGTCTGTTGTAGTAAATGTTACTTAGCACAATATTAGAGGGGAAAGAGAGATGCTGTGTGTTTTGGGTGAGAGCACAGATAACTCCAGCATAGAAAAAGCTGAGAGCATACATCTCAGGTTGAGAGGGAAGTAAAACTCCGAGAGAGAATCTGCCATAAAGTAGAAGATACACAGGTGGAGAAGCAAGTGAATCACCGAGGTGAAGAGTGTGCCCAGTGCAGTAAGTTTGTGTTAAGCTTTTCTACTTTATAAAACACATCTGACTTATAGGTATAGATTTTTGTATTGGCCTTGCTTCCATGCCAAAGGTGATACAAGACACTGATTTGTGGAGAACAATCAGTTCTGCTGTAATGGGATATATGTGTTCTTCAAAATCACTATACTTTTCACCTGGGATGTACCAGAGTGGGGCTGGTGAGAGCTCTCCCCACCCCAAAGGACCTAGCCCTGGCAGCCGAAAACATCCAGAACCGAACCACCACCACACACAAAGGTGCTCCTCACATGCTTGGGCTGAGCCTGGCGCACCAGTGAACCTATTCCTGGACCTTGAGGCGCAATCATAAGACACAACCTACCCATTCTCCAAGAGTATCACACCACATCTGATGGAGTTAAAATAGTGGGCAACCAATCATAGAGGGAAATATATATATATATATATCACTGTCACTGTCATCCTGTTGTTCATCAATTGCCTGGAGCAGGCCCCAGTAACATCTTCGTCCTAGCCCTGAGATTTTAAAAAGTGCCACATTTGAGGCTCTATCAGGGTCAGGAGAATGAGACCCATCATTGTTACTGGGTTTTGGCATATTGAAAATGCCACGGGAAGTTTGCCAGACTCTGCCGTGTGGGCAGGATACTTTGGGTAGCCTGCCAGGTTCTCCAGAGTAAGAACTAGATAATAAGATGTCTCGTGGCCGCAAATGCGGTTGTATGCTTGCGGGAGCAGGGTTTTATAGTCTCTGGGTCTTGGCCATTGATGGGATTACACGGCGCCAGGGGCAGTTGGTGGGTGTAATGCCTACATACTTTGAAGATCGGGGGTCTGGGTGGAGGAGGCCTCAGTCCCAATCCAAGCAGGCTTGGAGATCTATGCTCCAGGTCCCACACACCTGGGTTCCTCTGCCGGTTCCTTCATGTGTGTGGAGCATGGTCTTAAGCATGGCTGTGGCTGGAACCAGAAGTCTTCAGCTGCCGGGGCTCTGCTCGGGGCGGGGAGGGAAACTCAACCCACCCTCCTCCCACGGGCTCTGGTGAGGACAGCCAGGCGCAGAGGCAGGAGACTGTAAATATATAAATATGTATATATATGCATATATATTTATAGATATATATGCATATATATATATGAAAGTTCACAAGGCTCAACCTTTAACAACAAGTTAGTGATATAGAAGGTCTTAATGGCCCCTGTCAAAATAGAACAATCTTCATACTCTTTTCTCTATGTATACTTTTTTGTAGCATTTTTAGCAGTTTTTCATAATAAACAATACAAAATACTGTTTTGGTTCTTCTTTGGAACAGGAATTGGGGTTTGGAATGGAAACATGCCAAATATGATGGTGGGAAGGTGTAATGGTGGTGGGATTGGTGTTTGATTATTTAATGTAATCAAATATTGTGAACTACCTTATAAAATTTAAAAATTTTTAAAATAAAATCACTATGCAAAATCATTTGATTCAAAGCCTAAAACAATAGGCTTTGGGCTGTGTAATTTCAACCTGCATGCTTTCTTAAGTATGTTTTCTTTTCCCTCCCTTTTAATGTAATTCTTCAAAAATCACACCCAAAAAAGCCCACAGACTTTATGGAAAATGAGGTTAGGGATAGATACAACACTTAAAGGCTATTGACCCAATAAAGGAAAGACCAGGAACTAATATATAAACAGTAGCCCAGTTTTATACATTAAATGTTAAGAAATGCATAAGTACTAGAATAAATATGGCCCTATGCCTTGAAAATGAACTGCTGTTTGTGAAAGTGGGTGTGGGAGATTGGCAGCTTGTGAGTTAGTGTGAAGGGAGGAGGGTGATCAGAAATCAAGTAGAAATTCTAGTACCAGATGTGGATGACTGTTCTTTGTTTTTGCTCATTGTTCTTGCAAGGTGTGCATTTTGTGTCCTGTGTCTGAGTTCAGTTGGATGCAATAAATCGCCTTCATCTAATGTTTCAGCTGGATGAGAGCTTATATTG